GTTTTAAGCTAGAGATCTGTGGACGTGATCTCAAGGTTGGGTGTGTGACGTGATCTCAAGGTTGGGTGTGTGACGTGATCTCAAGGTTGTGTGTGACGTGATCTTAAGGTCGGGGTGTGTGACGTGATCTCAAGGTTGGGTGTATGACGTGATCTCAAGGTTGGGTGTATGACGTGATCTCAAGGTTGGGTGTGTGACGTGATCTCAAGGTTGGGTGTGTGACGTGATCTCAAGGTTGGGTGTGTGACGTGATCTTAAGGTCGGGGGTGTGACGTGATCTCAAGGTTGGGTGTGTGACGTGATCTCAATGTTGGGTGCGTGACGTGATCTTAAGGTTGGGTGTATGACGTGATCTCAAGGTTGGGTGTGTGACGTGATCTCAAGGTTGGGTGTGTGACGTGATCTCAAGGTTGGGTGCGTGACGTGATCTCAAGGTTGGGTGTGTGACGTGATCTTAAGGTTGGGTGTATGACGTGATCTCAAGGTTGGGTGTGTGACGTGATCTCAAGGTTGGGTGTATGACGTGATCTCAATGTTGGGTGCGTGACGTGATCTCAAGGTTGGGTGTGTGACGTGATCTCAATGTTGGGTGCGTGACGTGATCTCAAGGTTGGGTGTATGACGTGATCTCAAGGTTGGGTGTATGACGTGATCTCAAGATTGGGTGTGTGACGTGATTTTAAAGACATGTGGCATGATCCTAAACTTCGGAGTGCGACGTGATCTACTGTAGTTGTCCAGTGTGATGGCATGCTGAGCACGTCTCGCCCCACCCCCTCAAGTGCCCTAGAAACCTGCGCGGAGACGGACCCGATGGAGCAAACAACCAGACGTACGGCCCAGTGAAAGGACCTCTCGAGAGCGATGGGCTTGATAGATCGGGACAGTCCCAGATTGGGAATTAGCCCACTGAGGTCGTTCTTACGGCATTGCCCGCTGGTGTTCGGTCTTCGGCTATTACTGTGTTGTGTACATGGACCGGTCTACATTGATTTGTGTACATAATTTTTTCCTTTTTAAAAAGATTGAAGAAAAATATATCCCTGTCTTAAAAAATCACATCCTAAATTTGACGTTGTTAATTAATGTCACTGTGGTAAAAACAATACACGATCTATTATTTTCTTTTTTGTATTAATTGCCACATACTCAGGATACAATGGATTTAAAATATCGGACTTTGATTTTTATTAAAAAGGCGAATACTATTATCACGATATTACCCTCCTCTACCACGTTATCTCTCTCTTTTCTGCTATTGACCCCACCCCCTCCCACCCTTATAATTTTGTTCCACCCCCCCCCCTTGTACCACAAAACTACCTACTCCACATTTTGTACCATTACCTCCCCTAGTATCAACACATTTTTTACCATCACCTCCCCCTGTATCTCCACATTTTCAACTATTACCTCCCCTTGTACCACCACATTTTCTACCATTATCTCCCCTTGTCCACTCTACCCCCCCCCCCCCCCCCCCCCCCCCCCCATCTCTAACGGCCGCTAAAACAACTAACGTCCCTTGTAGTATCGACTTGCCCCTCGCTGTTTTCTTGTACCCTTACATCACCCCAACTGCTTCGGTTGAACGTTTCTCATCTGTCTGCTAATCCCTGCTTTACTTTGGCAAAATTTCAACATGCCCTCCCCCGTCGGCAGTATTGAAAATTAACGCGTGCAGAAAAAAATAAACAAAGTGCGGGGAAAAAGCAAAGGAAAAAAAACACGTACGTGCAATCGAAGGCTGCTATTTTTTTTTCTGTTCTAATTACTTAACTATGTGCTGTAGTGAAGTAACATTACAATATGCTGCAGTAAAGTAGCATTACATGTGCTTTAGTAAAGTACAACTACAGTGTGCTGCACTAAAGTACCATTACAGTGTGCTTCACTAAAGTACCATTACAATGTGTTGTAATAAAGTACCATTTCAATGCGCTGCACTAAAGTACCATTTCAATGTGCTTTAGTAAAGTACAACTGCAATGTACTGTAGTAAATTACCATTACAGTGTGCTTCATTCAAGTAACATTACAATGTGCTATAAAGTACAACTGCAATGTGCTGTAGTAGTGTAAAATTACAAAGTTCTGTAGTAATATAACACTTCTGTGTGCTTTAGGAAAGTACCACTAGAATGTGCTGTAGTAAAGTAACACGCAACATCGACCATAAATTATCTTCGCCTTCTACAACAAAATGGAAGGCTAATTCAATATTTAAAGTTGTTACTTTATATCGACAATTAATATACGCGTAACATTTAGACTAGATCTTGATTTAGTGGGTACGTAATCTCAAGCAAATATAAATAAACAAAGCAGATGCTAAACGTAAAAAATAGAATCTAGTTATTTAAAAAAAAAAAAAACCGACTAGATCGTAATTTCTCCTTATCTCAACGTGGACTGTATCTAGCGTGTCCTTCAACAAATACCATCTGACTTGAGTTATCTCCCATTTGCCGTCTTTCCAGAGTTATCCCCATCGTCCCCACTACGACTGTTCGTCCGATCGAATGTTTGTTTCCTTCTTCTCTTGCAACAAAACAAACTGGCTTTCATCTGGAACTGTGCACCTGCCCTTTCCACGGGCGCGCGTATCTACTCTTGCCCCCCCCCCCCCTTCCCCCTTATCTCCACCCCCTCCCCAGTTCCCATTCAAACGTTAGTGAAACTTGCATCTCCTTATGGAAAGTTACCCCCCTCCACCCCCCTCTCCACCCCCTTCCATAGATCTGTCAGCTGACACCCCCGCTCACGCGATCTATTTATAGCCTTGCCTATTACGTTATGCATTACCTGCACTCCCGCTCTATCTTCTACCTGTCTTCTGACAGAAGGGACGTAACTCTCTTAACTAGCGGCACCGTCTTGTGCCAGTAGGCTGGCACCGTGGCCGTGGTAGACTGTTTATCTCCCCTACTGGGCCTGTTGACACACGCAAGTGTCTCAGTGATTTAAGGCATCTGGTGCCAGTGGCAGATGGTGGATGGAGTCACAGCAACTCTACTTGACCTGCGGCATAGACTTTGGGTATCACCACCATAGACACACGCAAGTGTCTCAGTGATTTAAGGCATCTGGTGGCAGTGGCAGATGGTGGATGGAGTCACAGCAACTCTACTTGACCTGCAGCATACACTTTGGGTATCACCACCATAGACACACACAAGTGTCTCATCGATGGTGGATTGAATCACAGCGACTCTACTTGACCTGCAGCATAGACTTTGGGTATTACCACCATAGACACATGCAAGTGTCTCATTGATGGTGGATGGAATCACAGCAACTCTACTTGACCTGCGGGGGTGGGGTGGGGTGGGGGTGGGGTGTTGGATATTATCTCCTTAGACATAACCCCCCTGATATAACCCCCCTGGTCTGGACACAACCCCTGAAATGGATTGTACATAATCCCCACCCAATATACAATTTAAAACAAAGAAGAACCCCCCCCCCCCCCCCTTGATATTTCATATAACCCTACTCACATTGAAACCCTGGACTACACATAATCCACTTTATCTCCCTGATTTGATTGAATATGTTTAATCAATGACACTTAACCTTCAACCTCATCTCCTTTAACTAAATACATTGTTTTAAATTAAGAGCAGTATTGTGAAAAAAAATGTCCAACTCAAAACCATATTGTTTTTATATTTATACAAATCTGAGCTATATAAGCTCAAGTGAGCTGAACATTTGGTTACATTTTGTTCATGTAGTCTGGCATATATGTATGTGTATGTGAATATGGATTGTGTATATGGATAGAGTATCTTATGTACATGTTTAGCTGGCCAGTTAGGTTTATTTGTGCGGTGTGTCATTTAATAGTTGGTCTTTATCTATCAAATATCTAACCCTTCCCCCCCCTCTCCCCCATCACCCAGCTAACTAAGCAATCAGTGGAATACAGGTCCTGTAAACAACAGCCCACTCATGAAGGCCTCTCTAATGACAGGGTGGGGCTACTCTGTAATTGAGCTAGTTGATAGGGCTCAGTTACCTCTCCTGTGTCATGTTGACATTAGTCACTGACATGTTCAAATGTCATGTTGAGTGTGCTAATTCATGTTTACAGTACTCACTGATGTGTAGAAATGTTATGTTGACAGTACTCACTGATATATATAAATATGTTGATATTACTTATAGGCATTGCACATAATGTCTTGTTGGCATTATCAAGAAAATGCCATGCTGGAAAGTTGTAACATTTGTACCATATATAATTCTCATGTTTGCATTATATGTCAATCTTTCGTTATAGCAATTCTTAAAAGTTTCTCTTGAACAGTCTCTTTCCAACTTGTTTTTTTAAAAATCCAAGTGCTTGCTTCTCTTCTATCTGTTAATAGCTAACTCGATGTTTTCTCTATAATAAATTATAACTGTCTGTTGTATTTATTCAATTCTACCAGGTCATTGCATAATTTTGTTAATTAACAAATATTAGCCCAGCCATTACATAATTTATTTACAGTAACCCATCCATTACATGACTTATTTACAACAGTAACCCAGCCATTACATGACTTATTTACAACAGTAACCCAGCCATTACATGACTTATATACAACAGTAACCCAGCCATTACATAACTTATTTACAACAGTAACCCAGCCATTACATAACTTATTTACAACAGTAACCAATCCATTACATAACTTATTTACAACAGTAACCAATCCATTACATAACTTATTTACAACAGTAACCCAGCCATTACATAACTTATTTACAACAGTAACCCAGCCATTACATAACTTATTTACAACAGTAACCCAGCCATTACATAGCTTATTTACAACAGTAACCCAGCCATTACATAGCTTATTTACAACAGTAACCCAGCCATTACATAACTTATTTACAACAGTAACCCAGCCATTACAGAACTTATTTACAACAGTAACCCAGCCATTACATAACTTATTTACAACAGTAACCAATCCATTACATAACCCATTTTTGTTTGTCAACAGAGGATGACCCAGCCTTTGCATCCCACTACAGCTTATATGATGGTAGCTTTGATGATGACCTTTACCAGGGGCAAGCAACTGCCACTGGGCTGGAGGAAGGGGAGACTAGTATGACTGAGAGTGCTGAGAATCAGCCAGTGGATGTTTATGAACTCATACAAAAATTGGAAACGGAAAGGTTGGTAATTTTTTTTATTCATTTAACAATAGTCTATTCCGTTGTATGTAATCATTATTTTTTATTATACCCAGTGTTGCTTTCATTAAACATAATTACTTCTGTTCTTCTTTTTCTTCTTCATTTGTGATTCTCGATTGTAATGTTGTATTACATGTCAACCTGTTAGGGATTTGCATCCATGGCATTTGTCCATCCAATAACCATGCTACAAGGCAGCAATTGTTTTCTTTTGTAGTTGTCCTTTCTAGATCTGTTGCTGTCCCTTGCTTTGACCCTCATCCAGGGGTTTTAACTCAGGACTTTGAATTTAGCAACTATGAGCTTTACCGTGCTAACCACTACAACGTCAATTTAGTAAAAAAAAACATTTTTCCTAAAATCTTTAAAAAAAATTAAAACTAGCTATGTAAAGGATAATCTGTAAATATTTGACAAAGTTTGACATTTCATTTAAATTGGATTCACTGTTAAGGTTATTTCTTAAGCTTCAATCTTAAACTGTTGTCCCTGAAGATTGTCATAAACTTTTACTTTCCAGAAAACTTGTTATAAACTTTTACTTTCCAGAAAACTTGTCATAAACTTTGAGAAAACTTTGCATAAACTTTTTATTCAGAAAACGCTATAAACTTCAGAAAGCTAGTTTTTGCTTGATTTTCTTAAAGCATAGTCTCTTAATTGGTCATTAATAAGATTTCACCTTGACCTTCAGGAAACCTAACATTGTCATTAATAATATTGTTTTCACCTTGACCTTTAAGAAATCTTAAATTGTCAATAATAAGATTTCACCTTGACCTTCAGGAAACAACTTCTACAAGACGTGGAGAGGGACGAGCACCACAGGAAGTGGTTCTACAACCAGCTGAAGGCCATCACCCAGAAAATGGAGAACTTGCAACAGTCAGACAATGTAAGCACCTGTCTTCTTCTTCTTAGTTCTTAATTGTAGTGTTGGAATGGTTTCCCTCCAATGCAATTAAGTATACGTCTCAACTTATCATGCACCATTGAGGCCATTGACTCCGATTTCAGCCTGCTTTTCTTCTTGGATTTGATTCCATAGCCTTTGTCCAACCAAGAACAAACTGCTAGGCAGCAGTTGTTTGATTTTGGAGTTGTCTCTCATAGGAGAGTGGCTGTCCCATCTAACGACCCTCATCTACCCAAGGTTTCGAACTCGAGACTTTTCGGTTTAGCAGCCATGAGCTTTTACCGACTCAACCACGCCGACCCTTAAGCACTAGTCAATTTTATTTTCACCTGTATTTATATATCTTTTTTTTCACATGTTGATACATTAGAGCTCCTGAATTAGCCTATAGAAAATGCTTCACTAAGTTTGAAAAAACTACTCAGCTGTAAACAATCTTTCAAACCCAGATTATACATGTCCATATATGTAGCCTTTTGCAGGACCCTACAACATCCCTATTCTGTGTAATGTAGTCTGGCTAAGTTGTATGTCAGATAATAACAAAGCTAGGGTTCAAACCCAGATTATACATGTCCATATATGTAGCCTGTTGCAGGACCCTGAAACATACATAATTGGTGTTCACTGGTGTCTGTGATTTGCGTATATGAAGAGATAGTGTGGTGATTTCTCTGCACTGCCACCTTTATTTTCCCTAATGTCACATACCCATCAGAGCTGGGTGGACTCAAGAATGTCCTACAGACTCAAACAAGTCTGGTTTTTCGTACTTCAGGCCTTAGGGTTACTAGTCATTCTCTATACCACAAGCCACACCACCCATACTAATAGCCACAAAATCTCTGTCTTAAAGAAAGCCAAATCGTGTCCCCTCCCCTCTTCCCTTGAAAAACATAAAACAGTTTGTGAGGTAAACATTATCGTGGCTAGCCACAAAATCGTGTCCCCCTCCCCTTCCTCCCTTGAAAAACATAAAACAGTTTGTGAGCTAAACATCCATGTGGCTCTTATTGATTACTTCTTCCTTCCCCTTGATGCTGAAATTGTAGATGAGATCAATATTTGCTAATGTCACATAAAGGTTATCTTTTGTGGTCAGGAGTTGTTTTTTTTTTAGTAGCAATGATCCTAGCTAGCGTTTCAGTACAAAATGAAATTAAGGTATCATTTTTAACTTGCTCATTAGCTACTGAATATTCCTTTTAGACTTTGTTTAAGTCATTTCAATAATCTCTTTTTAGATTTTGCTTATGACATTTCAATGAATCTAATTTCTATCATTTATACTCTCCTGTGAACTGCATTGCTATGTTCATTTTATAAATTAAAAAAAAAAAAACACCATGAAAAGCATTGGAAATCTCTAATACAATGCCCTCTTTCCCCTCCCCTCCAATTAACCATATCAGTAACTGACTTGTTACTCTTTTTCAGAATTATTACCATTTGTATAACTTGTCTAATAGTGCATTCATCCCCTCCCTCCACCTTATAATTATTATATCATTCTATTCGGCTTATGAACTGGTGTGACTTTCATGTTCTAGGCTAGTGTTTTACCTCCCTATGACCAGAAAGGCTGATCCATCTGTTGATCCTCTGATTAAAAATTCACACACACCTGTGCTGTCCTGTATTACCATGGAGCGAAAAAATAAAATTTGACTTGTTGATATGTTGGTTACAGTTCACACACACCTGTGCTGTCCTGTATTAGCATGGAGCGGAAAAATAAAATTTGACTTGTTGATATGTTGGTTACAGTTCACACACACCTGTGCTGTCCTGTATTAGCATGGAGCGGAAAAATAAAATTTGACTTGTTGATGTGTTGGTTACAGTTCACTGCACAAGCCGATCAGGCGCGACGCCAGCTGGACGTGGAGGCGCACCGGGTGCAGGGGGCCATGCAGGAGAAGCTGGGCTCGGGGGAGCAGAGCAAGCTGCGGCAGGAGGCCAGGCTGGAGAGGATCCGGGCCATCGAGGGCGAGATGAACGCCCTGATCAGCCAGGGCAGGCAGCATGTGAGGGACGTGCGGGACGCTGGGACTTCAACCATGCTGGGCAGAGAGGTGAGGAACTTCATGGGTGTCTTAGTCAATATTCTTTATCTTCTGTCCTGTAGTCTAGTCATGCGTGTCTTGGTCAGTATTCTTTATCTTCTGTCCTGTAGTCTAGTCATGGGTGTCTTCATCAATATTCTTTATCTTCTGTCCTGTAGTCTAGTCATGGGTGTCTTCATCAATATTCTTTATCTTCTGTCCTGTAGTCTAGTCATGGGTGTCTTGGTCAATATTCTTTATCTTCTGTCCTGTAGTCTAGGTGAGCTCTAGGGACATTGTTAGGGCTGTGTGAGAGATTTGACCTTGAGCTTCACAACCAGCGTAGTTTGAGTTCCTCTGTGAGGGCTCAATCATTTAACTTCACAGCGGGACAAACGATAATGACTTGACAAAATGCCTATTGTTTCCCAGTTCAGCTTTTTATTCAACCAAATTATTGTTGGCATCACACAGAGTACCTCTCACATTCACTTTCTAGCCCGAACTACATTCCACAGCAACCAGTTTCTATCACAAAATGTCAATATCTTGCATCATTTCATTTATTCATTACATCTCTCGCACCAATATTCATTTGCATCAAAATACCCTGATAGACACACATCATAACAGACGTAGCAGTGTCCTGATTGTATTCCTTTATTTCCATTTTTTCCTCAGCCATGCTCAGTGGTTCACCCACTGTTAAGTCCATCTTAGTTTTCCTATTTTCTGTTTCCCTTCCTAACTTTAGTTTGTCTGGCACTGAACCTAATAGGAATTTTCTCACTAAATCTAACAACCTTTCCTGTTCATGCACAAGACACATGGGGCAGATGAAGTAGAGTTCATCTGTTTCAGATACCTGGGCATATGAAGGGATAGTGTGGTCAGCATTTTCCGCAGCATCCTGTTCTTTCCTTAATGTAAGTTAGTTACCCATCAGAGCTGGGTGACCTCGGTGACATTCTACTGACTTGAACCCGGAATCGAACTTGAAACTTTCGGGTTAGCAATCTAGCGCTTAACTTCTAGGCCACAACCTTAATGCTTATACATTTCTGTGGAAACCTAATTAAATTTTTTAAAAATATACATTGGTTTTATTTTTTTTTTTTTCAAAATTGAACATTATCTCAAGAAAACAAATCAATAAATATTTTTTCTTTCCGTGCAGGTGTTTAAAATCAAACCAGATCAAGAAGGTGGTGTAGGGGGCTACATCTGTGACCGCATGCCCCTCCGTACTGGCCAGATCAGTTTAGCTACCCAAACAGGGGAGGTGACCTACACAGAGATCCCTGACGGAGTTGCTCCAGGCATGCCCTTGAACCCTAACCTCTCTGTCATGTACCATGGAGCTTGGCCTATAGACAAAGGTTCAATTTTCACATTTTTCAAATTGATTTATATTGTGGGAAATTTAATCCTAGCTGGGTTTTTTTTTTTACCTTTTTTAACACAGTTTTGAAGAGATTAACATTATTATACTAGCAGAAGAAGGAAGTAAATATTGTTTAATTTTTATTTTTTAAGTTTTGGTTACATCGATATGATGTTAAATTATTCTTAAAAAGGGATAATTCTTTAGTGACATGCACTGGGGTGGGGGAAGAGGGGTGGATTTCAGACTTTTGTGATGATGTAAATCACTGGGAAGAGAAGTAAGTTTAAATAATGTAAGTAAGTAAACTTCCTTTTTAGATCTAATGTTCCACTGAGCATATGAAGTAGAATTCATACAATTCTTGGCCTTGTCATATGAAGGGGATAGTGTGTTAAGCACTATGCACAGTTGCTTTCACTTTCTCCAATGTCAGGTGTCCATCAGGGCAGTGTGGATTCAGAAACATACCACAGTCACAGGACTGGGATCTGAACTTGAGACATTCAGGCTAGCTACCAAATGCTCTACAATGTAGCTACACCTTCCCATTTAAAAAAAAAATGTCACGTTTTTTTGTTACTAAAAAACTAAAAGGAGTAAAAATTGTGATTTAAATTAAAGTTTAAAAAAATGTAATGCTTGAAGGGAAATTTAGTTTTAAATAATTATAAAGAGATTTAAGTTTCAGTGATGACTTGTGTAGATGATAGAAAAGGGAGTTAACTTATGGCTAAATTAGTATCATTGCCACTTATAAGTAAACATAACCTCTTTTGTTTTACCTGTTGTGTAGCCCTCCACGGCAGTATGTGCTCAGATGGGTCCCTGCCCCCATCCCATGACCTGGCCAGTGTCATCAGCTTCAACTCCACCAACACCATCAGCGGCAGCAGCGCCAGTGGCGCCACGGCCATGACTCACTCTGGCTCATCTACATCTGGGGACCAGCCGCAACACCTGGGGACCAAAGTAAGTCATCCATATCTTAGGACCACCTGTATAATTAGGGCACCACGTAGAGCACAGGTTTAGTCCAAACAGTACAGTAAGGGCACTATTTAGATAGAACACTCAGGGCACTATTTATATAGAATACTCAGGGCACTATTTAGAAAGAGCACTCAGGGTACTATTTAGAGAAGGCATCATGTAGTCTAGAAACTACAATGTCTAATAAGTCACAATACTATATAGCCAGCATATAATAAAGTTTTTTTTTTTTTATCAAAGTGTACTTTATTCAAAAAGGTGAATATATTTTATGTCACTCCCCTCCAGGTTGAAATGGTGTACTCCTTGCTGAGCATGCTGGGTACACATGACAAAGACGACATGTCCAGGACCCTGTTTGCTATGTCCCAGTCACAGGACAGCTGTATAGCCATGCGGCAGTCTGGTATGTCACTTGTGTTGTCTGACCAAGCTCATGACTTAATCCAGTCTGCGTCCCCAAAAAATCCTGTCCATATCTCTAATCCTGCCCATTTCCCTTTGCTATTTATATACCTAATCTTGTCCATATACCTGATCTTTGCTAAATTCCTAATTCTGTCTGTATTCCTAATCCTATCTATCCCTAATCCTGTCTATCCTTAATCCTCCATCCCTAATCCCAAATAAAATATTCCTTATCCTGTCCACATCTCTAATCTGGACCTATGCCCTTATTAAAACCTACCATTAAAATCAACTGTCATAAAAAAAACCCACATATTTTACTGCACTGAAGTCCTCTTAACATTCATGACAAAACCATAACCTATTTCACATGCTGTATATCTAACCAATCTCTGTCATCTTGTTGTACAGGTTGTGTTTCACATGCTATATCTCTAACCAATCTCTGTCATCTTGTTGTACAGGTTGTGTTTCACATGCTATATCTCTAACCAATCTCTGTCATCTTGTCATGCAGGTTGTCTTCCCCTGTTGCTGCAGCTCCTAATCCTGCCCATAACTCTAATCCTGCCCATATCTCTAATCCTGCCCATAATACTAATCTTGTTCATATCTGTAAACCTGGCCACATCCCTGATCCTGTCCTTATCCTAAATCATGTCCATATCTCTAATCCTGTCTGTATTCCTAATCCTATTTGTCCCTAATCCTGTCTATCCTTAATCCTCTATCCCTAATCCCATTTCCCAAATAAAATAATCCTTATGCCCTTATTACAACCTAGCATTAAAATCAACTGGCAAAAAAAACACACTCTGTAATGCAGTCCTCTCAATATTATAAAACCATAACTTTTCACATGCTTTAACTCTAACCAATATCTGTCATCTTGTCACGCAGGTTGTCTTCCCCTGTTGCTACAGCTCCTCCATGGTAGCGACAAGGACTCGGGTCTGTTGGGCAAGACCAGGGGGAGTAAGGCTGCCAGGGCCAGGGCGGCCGCGGCCCTGCACAACATCGTCCACTGTCACCATGACGACAAGAGGGGCCGGCGTGAGGCCAGGACGCTGCGCATGCTGGAGCAGATACGTGCGCATTGTGACCAGCAGAGAGGGGAGAGCGAGGAGGAGGATGAGGAGGCTTCTGGGAATGGTGAGGGTGGGGTGAAGTGATGTGTGTGGTTGGGTGGGGTTAAGGTTAGGTGATGGGTGGGGTTAGGTTTAAGTGATGGGTGGGGTGGGGTGACGGGTGGGGTTAGGGTAATGTGCTGGTGGGTTAGGTGCTGGGTGGGGCAAGAGTTTGGGTTAGATAATGGATGGGGTTAAAGGCTTGGCAGGGTTAGTGTCAGATGCTGTGTGCTATAAGGGTTTAATGCTTGGTAGTGTTAGAAGTCGGGCAGTGATAGGGTTAAAAGTTGGTTGTAGATGGGGGTTGAAGCTGAGCGTAGTTAGTGTTAAGAACTGTATATTTAGGGTTAAAATATGGGTTTAGTACTAAAATGTCGGTATGATAAAAGTAAAAGAATAGTAAAGATGTGGAAATTGTAGGGTTTAAGAGCTAGTGGGGAAATAGTAATTGTTAAAAACTGTATATAGTCAGTAAAAGAAGTTGATTTTGACAGAAAACATTATTTATGTTAGAACAGTATACGACTGTTGAACAGTTAGGTATAGTAAGAGTAAACTGATGAGATGTTTAATTCCCACTTTACTCTGATGTCCAGGTTGTTCAGACATGGACCATCACCCTGGGGCAGCCATCGCAGCCTTGATGAAACTGTCCTTTGATGAGGATTACAGGCATGCTATATGCACCCTGGGAGGTCTGCAGGCCATCGCTGAACTGCTGGAGATAGACAACAGGATCAAGGGGCCGGTCTCTGACTACAGGTAATTCTGTGCTATACCTTTCCCTAACAGTCTCTGACTACAGGTGAGTGATTCGGTGCCATACCTGTCCCTAACAGTCTGTGACTACAGGTGAGTGGTTCGGTGCCATACCTGTCCCTAACAGTCTCTGACTACAGGTGAGTGATTCGGTGCCATACCTGTCCCTAACAGTCTGTGACTACAGGTGAGTGGTTCGGTGCCATACCTGTCCCTAAGAGTCTCTGACTACAGGTGAGTGGTTCGGTGCCATACCTGTCCCTATCAGTCTGTGACTACAGGTGAGTGATTTGGTGCCATACCCTTCTCTAACAGTCTTTGACTAAGGTGAGTGATTTGGTTCCATAGCTGTCCCTAACAGTTTCTGACTACAGGTAAGTGATTCTGTGCAATACTTTTCCCTAACAGTCTTTGGCTTAAGGTGAGGGATATGTTGCCATACCTTTTCCGAACAGTCTTGACCACAGATAATTCAATGCTATATCTGCCCTTAACAGTCTCTGGCTACAGGTGTGTGATTTGGTGCTATATTTGTCCCTAACAGTCTAAGAACCAATCAAACAAGGAAATATCAGTTTGACTGGTGATGGGGTTAAGTGGTTGAGTAGTAGGGTATGTGACTACCAACATAGTCCCAGAGTTTGGTTCCTTGAATCTATTAAGGTTTGATTTTACTTGAGGAATATCGGGCAGCTAAACATAGAACTGACCACAACATACCTTTTCATTAGTGAAAGTCAAAAAGTGTAATCTAACTAATTGACCCATCAGTTTGAAAGGGTACTTGGGCTGGAATTTGTACTGGCATCCATCATAATCTTGTAGCTTATGTTTTTATGTTGTATTTCACTTGCCATTTTGGTACATAGGTCTTGAAAAAAGTACTTACAAACTTGCAACAATACTTTTCTATCAATATAAGCTGGTTTCATTTTTTTTTATCTTGTCCACATTATAACATCTGCCTTTGAAACTTACCCGCACTATTGCTTTTTCCTCCCTTTGAAACCTTTTCGCTTAGTTACATCTTTCTTTCTTGAAACCTGTTTGCCCGTTTTTAGTTTTCTTTGAACATGTCCTCCCTCTACTGCAGCTTTATTATGTTTGAACTTTGAACCTCATCTCACACTTAAAAGTTAGTCCCCATGTTTGAACTTTGACCTTCTTTTTGCAGCATGACAGTGCGCAGGTACTCATGCATGGCCTTGACGAACTTGACCTTCGGGGACGGCAAGAACAAAGCCCTGCTGTGTTCCATGCGTGGCTCCATGGAGGCGCTCAGTGATCAGCTCAAGTCTTCCAATGAGGATTTGATCCAGGCTGCTGCCAGTGTCCTGAGGAATCTAAGCTGGAGGGCTGATCTGGCTAGCAAGAAAACTTTGAGAGAGGTTAGTTATAGGTCACACTTTTAGGTTGGGTGGGGGAGGGGGAGGGCTGATCTGGCTAGCAAGAAAACTTTGAGAGAGGTTATATATAGGTCACATTTATAGGCTGGGTGGGTGAGGGCTGATCTGGCTAGCAAGAAAACTTTGAGAGAGGTTAGTTATAGGTCACATTTATGGGGGGGGGGGGGTGGGGGAGGGCTGATCTGGCTAGCAAGAAAACTTTGAAAGAGGTTAGTTATAGGTCACACTTATAGGCTGGGTGGGGGAGCGCTGATCTGGCTAGCAAGAAAACTTTGAGAGAGGTAAGATACAGGTCACACTTATAGGCTGGGTGGGGGAGGGGGAGGGCTGACCTGGCTAGCAAGAAAACTTTGAGAGAGGTAAGATACAGGTCACACTTATAGGCTGGGTGGGGGAGGGGGAGGGCTGACCTGGCTAGCAAGAAAACTTTGAGAGATGTTAGATATAGGTCACACTTATAGGCTGGGTGGGAGGAGGGGGGAGGGCTGATCTGGCCAGCAAGAAAACTTTGAGAGAGGTAAGATACAGGTCACACTTATAGGCTGGGTGGGGGAGGGGGAGGGCTGACCTGGCTAGCAAGAAAACTTTGAGAGAGGTAAGATACAGGTCACACTTATAGGCTGGGTGGGGGAGGGGGAGGGCTGACCTGGCTAGCAAGAAAACTTTGAGAGAGGTAAGATACAGGTCACACTTATAGGCTGGGTGGGGGAGGGGGAGGGCTGACCTGGCTAGCAAGAAAACTTTGAGAGAGGTAAGATACAGGTCACACTTATAGGCTGGGTGGGAGGAGGGGGAGGGCTGACCTGGCTAGCAAGAAAACTTTGAGAGAGGTTAGATATAGGTCACATTTATAGGCTGGGTGGGAGGAGGGCTGACCTAGCCAGCTAGAAAACTTTGAGAGAGGTAAGATACAGGTCACACATAGGCTGGGTGGGGGATGGGGAGGGCTTACCTGGCCCGCATGAAAACTATGAGAGAGGTAAAATACATGTTAAATTTACAAGCTCCAGGTCTGACTAACACTTTAACTTACTGAAATTTTATGTGTTTAGCCAGATTCATCCATTTTTCTTATCTAGCTCTTAGAACTAGTTGATGATTGGGTTTTTATAGTATTAACTCAAGCTCATTTAAGTTAACTGCTGGTAATGGTTTTGATTACACTGTTATATTTAATGACATAACTTTAACTTTTCCATTTTTTTAGATTGGTGTTGTCACCACTTTGATGAAAGCCGCCATGACGGTCAAGAAGGAGACGACTCTGAAAAGCATTTTATCTGCATTATGGAACTTGTCTTCCCATTGTTCAGAGAACAAGGCTGAAATCTGCGCTGTGGAGGGAGCCTTGCAGTTCCTGGTGGGGCTGTTGACCTACAAGAGCGCTGCCAAGACCCTGGCTATCGTAGAAAACGGCGGAGGAATCCTCCGGAATGTCTCCAGTCAAGTTGCTATCAGAGAAGACTACAGACAGATTCTCCGCCAGAACGGCTGCCTGCAGATTTTACTGCATCACCTGCGTTCAACCAGCCTGACGATTGTCAGCAACGCCTGCGGGACATTGTGGAACTTATCAGCCCGGTGCGAGGAAGACCAGAATGCTCTGAGAGACATGGGGGCCGTCAGCATGCTGAGGAATCTTGTACACTCCAGGCATAAGATGATCTCCAGCGGCAGTTCCGCTGCCCTTAGGAATTTATCTGTGACTGGGGGTAAGTCCATGGATGGGGATAAAGGCGCTGGTGTCTCGTGTCCAACTTTACATGTCCGCAAGCAGCGGGCGCTTGAAGCTGAGCTTGAACAGAATTTGTCGGAAACGTGTGAGAATGTTGAAAGCCCGAGGAATTCCCCGACGGAAGTCGTACACAGATCAGAGAGCGAGCCTCGACGTTTTGTTTACCATGTGAATCCAGCGGGTGCCTCGGGGAATGTTGCGGGTGTTGAGTCTGTTCAGAGGCAGGAGGATGATGGGAGGAAACATTTAACTCGCAGGCAGATGATGCCCAGAAATGGCGTGGAGAATGTGGGGAACCGGGTGTTATCTCCGCAGCGGGTCGCCCGGGCCGGGAGCCAGGACAGCGTGGGCAGTACTCACTCTGACATTTCGCATGACCGCACCCGGGCACACAACATGCTGGCTAAGTCCTCACACCTGCTTAACAAACGCCAGGGGGGCAGCTTGGAGAGGAGAGAGCAGGCCGCTGGTTACGGTGCCTCGTCGCGCATGTGCAGCTCTCAAGGCATGACGGCGGTCGAGCACCCAAACCACACGCCGCACAGCATGAGCGCCAGCACCGGGCCAGGTGGCACCATGGTCAACAACACACCCGCGCACGCTCGCCGCCCTAACTTAGGCAGCAGCTACCACCCGCCAGCTTCCAACGCCTCGTGGCACTCCCTCCCAAACAGCCGCATCGTCCAGTACATGCAGGAGGTGGCCATGTTCGCTGGAGTGGAACCTGCCTCCAGCATCCACTGCCCGTCTTCTTTAACCCAGTCAGCGCCATCCCAGACCCAAACGGCCACGCATTCACTTCATTACAACAACAGCAGTCACCATCCTATGTTTGACCGGTTGGCTAAGTCTTCTTCAGGTCTAGGGAACGTTAACTCTCTACCACCAAATAACATGATGAACTCTAATGTAGACTCTCGGCTGGTCCGGTCCGTAGAAGACGAGGCCGACCAGCCTGTGAATTACAGTTTAAAGTACCAAGACGGCAACAACGCCACTCCATCCGACAGGTCAACCAAAGCTTCCAGCATCATGCATCCGTCTTCCTACAGTCATATGACATGCGTGAGCAGCGCCCCGACGTTTAGAACTAGTGGTATGGGAGACCTGATGAAACCGTCCGCGGCGGGAGTGCCGTATTCTAACAAGAACGAGCACAGCTACTTGCCAAATGGTCAGTTAAATCATGGCCACCATGAGAAAACCACACCTAGCGTGGTTCAGAACCCGGGCTCCATGACACCCCACCGACCTGTACCACGTCTAGCCAGCAGGTGTTTCCACACCCCACAGCCCTACCGCCCCGCCGCCGGAGAGCCCAGGTACCATCCGCCCCAGTTTCTGACTCCTCAGGGACATTCGTACCCGTCTAACCATCCGATGGATTACCATCTCCTCTCCAGCTTACAACCCCATCCGCACAACGCAAGTCTTCCAGCCAACCCCAGCTTCCCAGCCCAGGGGAAAGTCTTCAACGCTGGTGCTAGTCAGTACCACGCCATGCCTGCTGCGCACCAAAACAAATCCCACCAGCTTCCCCTTCAACAGTTCAGCGCGTACGCCGAAACAGATCTGGACTCAGTTGTGGACCAACCAACAGACTTCAGCCTTCGTTACAAAGAAGTCTCCGAGGACACCTGCAGCGACAGTTACCAAGAACAGCCAATCAACTACTCCATGCGTTACCGTGACAACGGAGCCCCTACTGCTCCGGATATTTCCCAGTACAGGGAGGAACGCCACTGTGTGGAGTGTAAGTACGCCGAAGCACGCCTGGCTAACGAGCGTCTCGACAACAGTTCTAACGATGATCAGGTGCGGACATTTTACACCGAGGGCACCCCTTACCTGTCTACCGCCACCTCGCTGACTGACCTGACCCAGGCGGGGAAGCACGAGGGGGACAGGGAGGAGGAGGAGGATGATGAAGATGACAATGACACCAGCAACCAGGACAATTACGACGAGGACAACACCTCTAAGAACATCACCGTCATTGACGCTGAGAGGACGTTGACCGGGGCTGATTTGGAGAGGACTGGATCCAAGTCTGATAACGAGCGGGCACCAAGTAGTTCAGGGAGCCAGACCACAGACAGGCGTACGGGATCAACTGTCATCTGCGGAATCAGTGGACGCAACTGTAAGTTGGTTTTTTGTTTGTTAGCTCTGTTGCTTTGTGGTAGATTCATTGACTTGTGTCTTGTATGTTAGCTCTGTTGCTTTGTGATAGATTCATTGACTTGTGTCTTGTATGTTAGCTCTGTTGCTTTACTATAGATTCATTGACTTGTGTATTGTTTGTTAGCTCTGTTGCTTTGTGATAGATTCATTGACTTGTGCCTTGTATGTTAGCTCTGTTGCTTTGTGATAGATTCATTGACTTGTGTCTTGTATGTTAGCTCTGTTGCTTTGTGATAGATTCATTGACTTGTGTCTTGTATGTTAGCTCTGTTGCTTTGTGATAGATTCATTGACTTGTGTCTTGTATGTTAATTCTGTTGCTTTGTGATAGATTCATTGACTTGTGTCTTGTATGTTAGCTCTGTTGCTTTGTGATAGATTCATTGACTTGTGTCTTGTATGTTAGCTCTGTTGCTTTGTGATAGATTCATTGACTTGTGTCTTGTATGTTAGCTCTGTTGCTTTGCTATAGATTCATTGACTCGTGTCTTCTATTTCTATGTTAGCTCTGTTGCTTTGAGATAGATTCATTGACTTGTGTCTTGTATCTTTGCTCTGATGCTTTGTGATAGATTCATTGACTTGTGTCTTGTATGTTAGCTCTGTAATTTTGTTATAGATTCATTGACTTGTGTCTTGTATGTTAGCTCTGTTGCTTTGTGATAGATTCATTGACTTGTGTCTTGTATGTTAGTTCTGTATGTTTGTGATAGATTCATTGACTTGTGTCTTGTATGTTAGCTCTGTTGCTTTGTGATAGATTCATTGACTTGTGTCTTGTATGTTAGCTCTGTTGCTTTGTGATAGATTCATTGACTTGTGTCTTGTATGTTAGCTCTGTTGCTTTGCGATAGATTCATTGACTTGTGTCTTGTATGTTAGCTCTATTGCTTTGTGATAGATTCATTGACTTGTGTCTTGTATGTTAGCTCTGTAATTTTGTTAAGATTCATTGACTTGTGTCTTGTATGTTAGCTCTGTTGCTTTGTGATAGATTCATTGACTTGTGTCTTGTTTGTTAGCTCTGTTGCTTTGTGATAGATTCATTGACTTGTGTCTTGTATGTTAGCTCTGTTGCTTTGTGATAGATTCATTGACTTGTGTCTTGTATGTTAGCTCTGTTGCTTTGTGATAGATTCATTGACTTGTGTCTTGTATGTTAGCTCTGTTGCTTTGTGATAGATTCATTGACTTGTGTCTTGTATGTTAATTCTGTTGCTTTGTGATAGATTCATTGACTTGTGTCTTGTATGTTAGATCTGTTGCTTTGTGATAGATTCATTGACTTGTGTCTTGTATGTTAGATCTGTTGCTTTGCGATAGATTCAGTGACTTGTGTCTTGTATGTTAGCTCTGTTCCTTTGTGATAGATTCATTGACTTGTGTCTTGTATGTTAGCTCTGTTGCTTTGTGATAGATTCATTGACTTGTGTCTTGTATGTTAGCTCTGTTGCTTTGTGATAGATTCATTGACTTGTGTCTTGTATGTTAATTCTGTTGCTTTGTGATAGATTCATTGACTTCCACAGCTAGTAGTGGGACAGTTTGGTCCTGTGTTAAAGCGCTCGACTGCTAACCCAAAAGTCTCAAGTCATTTGAGTGTTTGGAAACAATTTTATTTGTTGCTTACTAATATTAATTAATATTTTGTATGCATTTTTTTCCAACTCATTTATACTTATCGGAAAAATGAATTACTGCTTATTAAAAGTAAAGTTCCTCTTTAGACCTAGCAATCCATTGGGCAGATTAAGTATTGTTCATATGTTTCTTGACACTGGCATATAAAAGGATGGTGTGGTCAGCACTACGCCCAGCCACCTTTACTTTCCCCAACGCAAGTCAGCGCTGGGTGGACTCAGCTACATCCTACAGTCGCAAGTCCTAACCGAGATCCGAACTCCAGTCCCTTGAACCAGCAGCCAAACTCTTTACCATTTGACCATGGCAACACTACTAGTCAATACCTATTTTATAATTTGTTTAGCCAAAAGTTGAAGTGTACTAATTACTTGAACTAAAAAAACTTCCTTGTTTAAGAAAGCTTTGACATCCAGTTAAACTTCCTGTGTGTAGACTCACCAGCTTAACATTTTTCTTGCAGCCAACCTGTCCTCACTGACCAGCTGTCCGTCTTCTGACCTGCAGAGGGAGCAGATGAACTTCCATGCTGACACTAATGAAGGTTGGTGTTTGCTACCTATGTATTAGTCTTTCTGTTGTTTTGTTTTGTGCACTACTTGGTGAGGACAAAAATATCTTGCTATCAATAAGCTATTTATGGACAACTTAATTAGGCCAGTCATTCATAACATGGCAAGGAAATGCCATTTTGTTTTGTATACAACTTTGTGATGCTAACCATCTTGCTACGGATAAGCCATTTTGTATACAACTTGGTGAAACCAAAAAAAATACCAGTGATAAGCCATTTTATATACAACTTGGTGAAGTCAAAAATAATACCAGTGATAAGCCATTTTGTATACAACTTGGTGAAGCCAAAAATAATACCAGTGATAAGCCATTTTGTATACAACTTGGTGAAGTCATAAATAACTAGCCAGATAAAAGCCATTTTGTTTTGTCATACAACTTGAAGTTAAAAATAACTTGCCAGTTAAAGGCCATTTTGTTTTGTATACAACTTGGTGAAGTCAAAAATAACTTTCCAAGGATAAGCCAAAGAGGCATGCTAAAAATAGAAGTAGGTAGTTTCTGTTGTATGCTGAAACAGATCAACTTGTCAAGGGGAAGTAACTAATCCAGCTGTTTGGTTTTATTTATTGGCGGAAGTTCAAAGTCTTGAAACACAAACTTATGAGTCATTCATCATGAACTAGATAGAGATGTGTTAGAAATGTGTAACTTCTGTCAAGACTCGACAGATGTTCAGTACTTACTAATTATTTTTTTAAAAAGTGCACTTTGAAAGCAGTTTGTTCTTTGTGATATTTATTAATGATGGATTTTTTTTAGTACCTGTTTATACTGTGAATGAAGTATGAAATAGACATGTAGGATAATGTCATTGTTTCTATCCCAATTCTAACCGATTTGTTGGGTCAAGCAGTAGAGCACTTGTCTTCTAACACGAATGTTCTGAGTTCAAATCTCCAGGGGAGTTTGTGGAGTTCAGCTATTGCAGATTCTTTTAATTTTCTGCTTCCAGCCTAAAGTGCTGACTATGCAGGCTTTCATATGTCAAGGTCACAGACTCATCTTCACGTGATGTATGAACTTTAGTCTAAAATTGGTCTAATTTAGGCTATTTCAGGTGCCGTTAATCAGACCAAGAGCCATATGAACTTTGAACTAAAATGTATCTAACTAAATGTATCTGTTACAGGTGCCCTGGATCAGACCAAGATCTACTTCACCTACTGTACTTTGAACTAAAATGTATCTAACTAAATGTATCTGTTACAGGTGCCCTGGATCAGACCAAGATCTACTTCACCTACTGTACTTTGAACTAAAATGTATCTAACTAAATGTATCTATTACAGGTGCCCTGGATCAGACCAAGATCTACTTCACCTACTGTACTTTGAACTAAAATGTATCTAACTAAATGTATCTGTTTTAGGTGCTCTGGATCAGACCAAGATCTACTTCACCTACTGTACTTTGAACTAAAATGTATCTAACTAAATGTATCTGTTTCAGGTGCCTTGGATCAGACCAAGATCTACTGTGAGGAGGGAACTCCTGTCTGCTTCTCCAGAGTGTCTTCCCTTAGCAGTTTACACAGCAGTGAGGCCAGGGAGGGGGAAGCACTCTCTCGACCAAGTGGGAATGACAAGGTGAGTAGGGAGCATGGGTCTATCTCAAACACAACCTGAAACTTAAAAAACAGGCAACTGACTCAGGTCATCTCAAACACAACTTGACCCAGGTCATCTCAAACACAACTTGACCCAGGTCATCTCAAACACAACTTGACCCAGGTCATCTCAAACACAACTTGACTCAGGTCATCTCAAACACAACTTGACCCAGGTCATCTCAAACACAACTTGACCCAGGTCATCTCAAACACAACTTGACTCAGGTCATCTCAAACACAACTTGACCCAGGTCATCTCAAACACAACTTGACCCAGGTCATCTCAAACACAACTTGACCCAGGTCATCTCAAACACAACTTGACCCAGGTCATCTCAAACACAACTTGACCCAGGTCATCTCAAACACAACTTGACCCAGTTCATCTCAAACACAACTTGACCCAGGTCATCTCAAACACAACTTGACCCAGGTCATCTCAAACACAACTTGACCCAGGTCATCTCAAACACAACTTGACCCAGGTCATCTCAAACACAACTTGACCCAGGTCATCTCAAACACAACTTGACCCAGGTCATCTCAAACACAACTTGACCCAGGTCATCTCAAACACAACTTGACCCAGGTCATCTCAAACACAACTTGACCCAGGTCATCTCAAACACAACTTGACCCAGGTCATCTCAAACACAACTTGACCCAGGTCATCTCAAACACAACTTGACCCAGGTCATCTCAAACACAACTTGACCCAGGTCATCTCAAACACAACTTGACCCAGGTCATCTCAAACACAACTTGACCCAGGTCATCTCAAACACAACTTGACCCAGGTCATCTCAAACACAACTTGACCCAGGTCATCTCAAACACAACTTGACCCAGGTCATCTCAAACACAACTTGACCCAGGTCATCTCAAACACAACTTGACCCAGGTCATCTCAAACACAACTTGACCCAGGTCATCTCAAACACAACTTGACCCACAAAGTCAGGCTAAAAGATCCCTTTTTCAAACATGATGGTCTAATAGCAAGTGAAGTAGAGTTCACTTGTTTCTGTGACCTCTGCATATGAAGAGATAGTATGGTCAGCACTATGCCCCCAGCCGCCTTTACTTTCCCTAACGTGAGTTAAATACTCATCAGAGTTGGGTGGACTCAGGGACGGTCTTCTGACTTGAACCCGGATTCGAACTCGAGACTTACGGGTTAACAGTCCTGCTATCTACCTCTAGACCACTCTGTCCCAAAGTCAGGCTACTGGCACAATTAATGTTCATCTTCCAGTCCTGGTATACACACTATCAAATCTGAAAAAATTAACCCTTTTAGTCTTGCTGACTGATGCACACTTTATCAAATAGAAAAAAGTGTACCCCTTAATTTTAAACCCTAATAATAATACACACTACTTCAAATAGAAAAATAATTTGATTAATAATATGGATTAAGAAATGAACTCTAAAATTAAAAATAAAAAATAAAAAAAACTGTAGCTACTTCCTTAAAAAAAAAACCCAATCAGTTTGACTGAAAGTGGACTTGATAAAGAGAAATAATCATAAATAACGTATGACGGGTTAGGTGTATTTTTTAATACCTTAGCTACTACAATGCCCAGCCATACTTACATTTCCCAACACATTGACAAGTCCCCACTTGAACCTCCTGTTTTGCAGGCTGAACTTACATGCATAGAGGAGGCGGAGACGCCAGAAGCCATGGTTATCTCTGTCATTGAGAACAAGAACGCCAGCTCAGCTGCTGCCAAGCCAGGTTCAAAACTCAGGCGCACCAACACTGACCAGATGACCAAGGGGGAGTCCAAGACCGTGACATTTGATGAGAACAATCAGGTGGGTGAAGTCATTTGGTGTAAAAATAAAAACAGAGCAGCTTTTTTACATTTCTGTAAAAAATAATTGAATTTTCACATGTTTTTTTTTTTGGTCATAAATGGCATTTAAAATGAAGTGTAAGAATTCTAGTATTAAAAATATATATCAAATATTGCAAATTATATATCAATAATAATATTGCTTCCCTGTTTGAGATATTTTTTTAATTTTTGGAGGATTTTTATATAATAATTGTTCAGTTTCTTTTAAGGTTTTTGTTTAAACAAAATTATTTATTTTTTTAAATGGATTTTAATGTATATTTTTTAAAATGGATTTTAATGTATATTTTTTTTAAATGGATTCTAATGTATATTTTTTTAAATGGATTTTAATGTATATTTTTTAAAATGGATTTTAATGTATATTTTTTTAAATTTCACATTTTAATTCTTCTTTCTAATAATTGTTTCTGTTATTACCAGGTTGAAGAAACACCACTGATGTTCAGTCGCAGTAGTTCACCAGAATCTCTGAGTAGCTTTGACACCCAGTCTGTGCACAGCTCTGTCATTAGTGAGTACAGCAGGAGGGCCAGTGAGGTCGTCTCCCCTAGTGACATCCCAGACTCCCCATCTGAGTCGATGCCATCGAGCCCAAGAAGAACGCACTCACCAACCAGGAGGCTGAAAGACTTCACCTCCACCCCCAAGTCAAGTCTGGCGGCCAAGCAGTCGCTTGACTTTAATAAAACACCCAGCACTTTAAAATCCGAGCCTTTCATGAGCTTCGCAACATTTGACGAAGAAGACAAACCTATTAACTTTGCAATGAGAAATGCTGAAATGGCGTTGATGCATACGTTTCCGGGTTTCGACGACGACCAACCGACAGACTTTTCGTCGTTCCACAGGGAGCAGGAGCCGATAACCTTCAGCACTTTCCAGAAAAATATCCAGCCTAGCATTTCTACACAGAACAATCACGTCAACAACAGCAGGCTGCTGACTCCTCGGGCAAAAGCCCTGCCCACTCTTGTCGAGCAGATTGGGGAGAATGAATCCATCTCCGGGAAGTCTGAAGTCCCTGTGGTGTACGCTGACGAGGGAACTCCTCCTAATTTCTCAGAAACCACAAGTTTAAGTTGGATTACTGTGGACAACGGTATGGAACCTGATGACATGATTGTCAATGACGTCAAAATGGTGCCGTACAGCAGGCACCAAGGGGTGGCTACTCCGACCCTGCCCAAAGCTGCCGGGTCGCAAGTACCCAGACATTTGCTGCAACAGATGCAGGCCCAGCCTGGCTTTAACCCCCCACCTGTCACCTCCGTGGGGAGCGCTCAGTCCATGGAGAAACCAGACGCGCACTGCTACTACAGTGGTGTTCTACCGCAGCAGCACAGGACTCCACAACAGCACAGTCTTCCACAACAACAACAGCAGCAAAACACACAAGTTGGTACATCGATTGGTGTGTTGAGAGGGATGGAAGTCAATGATCCCTTCCCAAACCAACCAGTTCAAGCTCAAGAACCGAACTTGCCAAAGGTGCAAGAGAGAGAGAACGGCTCGGAGATTATACTCAAGATCTCCACATCCAGTGCTGTGTCTAAACAAACAGCCAAACCATGGTCTCCGGCTACAGAACATTTAAAACAGGAAGACCGAGACTCCTCGATGTCCGAGGTCTCAGAAGGGGAGGAGGATATTCTGGCACAGTGCATCAGCTCTGGCATGCCGACACCATCGGCGTCATCCTCTGCCCGTAAGATGCGCAGGGCGTCTGCAGACAACTGCGTCAAGAAGAAATCCGGCATCCCCACAAAGTCGGATTCCTCCCTGGCCGGGAAAGTTTCCCCGAAAAACTCCTCAATCCCTAAACCATCAGTGTTGACCCCGTCCAGATCATCGTCTAAGATGGATTCACCTTCAAAAACCAATCCTGCAGCCTCAGCCTCCCAGCTGAAACCTCCTAGGCCAACCAGCAGCTCTAAGCACAGCAACCCAGGTCAAAAACAAGATGGCAACGCAAACAAAAACCAGCCGGCCAAACCACAGCTGGACAACAGTTTTGGTGCTCCAGCTTCTGCCCCTACCAAATCACAAGCAGCGCCTGCCACCCCTGCCAAAAATCATGCAGCTCCCAGTTTTCATCCCCCAGGGGGATCACCGGTCAAACCCACCGCTAGCAAGAACCTTAACCCTGTGTTAAACAAAGTGGCCAAGATGGCACCCCCTTCGCCAAAGAAAACCAATGCAGCCAACTCAAAAACAAACGCCTTGCCTCAGCTGCCTGTCATGGAAGATTACCGAGACTACAGTGAAGATTGCATCAAGTCCTATGCCACTGAAGGCACACCTTTAAACTACTCAGCCGCCACTTCCTTAAGCGACCTGAGCATGTTAACCCAGAACTCTTCACCTTCCCCAAAGAAGTCATCACTGCCTTCAGCCAAGTCTACCCCTGACGATGCCAGAAGTGACAACAGCTCTGTGTGCGAGGAGAGCGAAGAGCTCCTCTTGAACCAGATGATTGAGTCCGGCATGCCTAAGAGTAAATCTGGCCGCAAGTTTGGCGGGTCCAGCTCTGACCATGTTTCCGGAGCGGTCAGCGACAGCAGCAAAACCAGCAGCCGCGATTGCAACATGTCAGCGTTCATCCCTCGTGCGTCCAATCTAACAGTTGTGGCCCCATTTCATGACTTCATCCCGTCGGATAGCACAAAAGTGTACAACGTTGAGGGAACTCCAAAAAACTTTTCCGCTGCGACCTCCCTAAGTGACCTGACCATTGAATCTGTTGAAGGTCACGGCTCAACCGCTGCCGCCAGCTCCAAGTCACAGAAGCCTCCAGTTTTAAAAACTGAAGGGGGGAACAGTCCCCGCAGCCAGAGCAGGATTCCCAGTCTTCGAGGGAACCCCAGACCAACAGTGCCTCAGATTATACCCAGTAGCCATACTAGACCCATGAATGTACCTAATGAATACACAACATATACTGTAACTTTTTCACCCCCTTCCAACGACACATTACATTTGTATGGTGTTGAGGGGACCCCTATTACTTTTTCAAGAAATGACTCCTTGAGTTCGCTAGGAGGGGAGGATGATGGCAGGGGTACTGGCAGTGGTGTCAGTACCAGTCCGCATAAAGACAAGTACCGTTCTAATGACCGGGATGAGAGTGACAGTTCATCTTCAATACCCAGAGAGCGTCACGTTGTGGGCCAGTCCAGCGAGGACAGCAGTGTTGCGGGTGATAAGGCGGAGAGGCCGATCAAGTTCGCTGTTGAAGACACGCCTGTGTGTTTCTCAAGGAACTCCTCACTCAGCTCCATACACAATCTGGATGAGCTGGACCACCCCTCGGAGCCAGCAGCAAAGTCAGGGAAAAAGGAAAATGCTGCAGTAGACATGAAGAGATCTGATTCCGCTGGGTCACTCAGCGATGAGCTGGCTGATTGCGATCCAACGCCGTCAGAGCAGGCATTACTGGAGCAGTGCATCAACTCAGCCATGCCCAAATCCAGGCTGCCCAGAGGAGACGAGAGAGCGAAAAGGCACTCCAGGGCGAAGTTTCTGATACAGAAATCAGGCGGGAATGCCGGTAGGAGCGGGGGTGGTGTGGGGCTGTTGAAGAGTGTGTCTTTGGAGATGCCAGGAGGTATGGCAGACGGCGCGGGCGGGGAGCTGGACACGGGGTCACAGAGCTCTCTGTCCCAGAACCAGAGCAGCAGCGAGAACCTCATGACCAGGTCCTGTTCGGACACCACCGACCTTGACCTGGATTACCCGGCCGGTACCTCGTGCAGACAGTCCCGGTACTGCACCTGGCGCAGGCAGAGGCATTACTCTCAGGAGGAGGGCAGGCACGGCGCCGCACCCGCGGGCCCCAGGTACAGATCCCACTCGCAGGACAACGAGAACTACCTGAAGGTCCAGAAAGACATCAGCAACAAGCTGGCTCAGGCTGGCACCCGGGTCAGCAACCCTCGGCAAGTCTACCAAGGTTCTCTTGATTCGTTTGAAGACCTCCTCATCAGCAAGTGCCTTAATGAGACCTCCCTGAAGGCATCAGACAAGGGCAGGTTGTCTCAGGAGAAAGGAGACAATGAGAAATCTCTGAGTGATTTTGCTGCCAAAGTTCGGGAGATCTCCAACGATAACATGGGAGGGCTTTTAGCTTTGAGAGATGATGTGGACATAGATTCTGTTGTGTTCAATGATCATAGTATAGTTGAAGTGGCCGCTGGGGATCAAAATGATGAAGAAGAAGAAGAAGAATCTCAGCTAGGAAATGTAACCTTAAAAGCAAAATCCTGTGAAGAACATGAAGACCATGACCGGACAGTCCTGTCAGCTGTTGATCCCAACAAGGACGAAGACGAGATAGGGAATGTCCATTTTTTCATTGAAGACGAGGACCCTGACTATGACGAGGTGTATGAGCAAGGGGATGAGTCGTTTGACGGAGACATTTCCCCCGAGGAGGAAGAGAGGCTGCTGGCTGAGAACGTCAACCTCATCATGTCTGAGATCCAGACAACAAAGATGAGTGGCAGCACCGTGGATGAAGATCTATTTATAGAAAACGAGACCATATCCCTGGTTTCCAACGATTATGCGTCGGACACAAACTCCGAGGTTTCCGTCACCTGGTCTGTCGTTTCAGACAAAACGTCTGATTTGTCTTCGGCCACCCTGGCGGAGAAAAGCCTGGCATCAACATCCTCCAAAGGAGGTCCTAAAATTTTAAAGCCGGGAGCCCCGTCTCAGCTGGTTAAAAAAGCAATTGCAGATGAAGCGGAGGAGGTGAAAGGTGTCAGAGGTAGAAGAAAACCCTTGTACCCTGGTAAATCCAATAACACTGTCGCCGTTAAAGGCAAACCTAACCCCACAGGTAACCGTGGAGTCAACACTGCCGTAGCTAACAAACCTTCTCCAACTGGGGTAGTGAAACCCAACTTGGCACTCAAGAAAACACCACCTAAAGCTCCGAATGTCGCCAGAGTATCGCCCAGAACCAAGCAACCCCCTCCAACCCTGAGCAGCCCTAAGAGCTCGGGGCTACCTCAGAAGGTTGTCAGTCCCAGATCCCGATCAGCCGGCCCAGCTACGAGAAAATCCACCTCCCCGCCTGATCCTACCCCCAACAAACCGGTCTTGAAAAACCGGGCAGCCCAAGGCTCTTCCCCCGCAGGCAGATCTGACGCCAGCCAGGGGAAACCAACCATGTCGAAAATCTCCAGCTCACCCGCCTCCATCTCCCAGAACCCTGGCTCTAAACTGAACAAGAACTTGAAACCCACAACACCCCCCAAACTTGCTGGTAAAGACAGTGTAGGACTTACAAATAAAAAGACAGCATCAGGCTCTTCCACCAGCATCAGCAGCATGAAAAACTCCTCCCCTGACAATAAGGAAAACACCGAACAGATTCTTAATTTGAGAGAGAAAAAGGCATCCAAGATTGGCGTCCCGAATAACAAATCATTCAACCGTAGCCTTTCCAGCGAGTCAAAGGTCAACCAAGTCAACAATTCAAACGACAGTCTCAAAAACAGTAACAGACCCCAGACTCCGGTAAGCGGCGGAAAAACCAGAAATTTTTCTAATTCCTCCGGTTCCGGCATCCCCACTCGCAAGTCTGAGAGTTCTTCCACTGCTTCAATTTCCCAGAAAAACTCCCCACCCGGTGCCGCGGGTAAAAAGCCGGTGAGCAGTAAGATAGCCACTCTTTGGAGAAGGGATGGCAGCATGGAAAGATCCCCTTCCAGGGAGAGTCCTTTGTCGTCCGCCTCCTCGTCCTTGTCCAAGCTTCCAATCTCTAACATGAAGATTTCACCAGCCAGTGCCAAACCCAGTAGTCTTCCGCCATCCGGCTTCAAAACTAAAGCAGCCACACTCCCAGCGTCTTGCAGTCTCACGTCTGCTAAATCTGCCGGGGAGGTTATCTGTAAGAGCGCTACGTATGAGAAGATATCATCGGAAGCTCATTCTAGTAAATCTAACAGAAATGTCACAAAGAAGTTTCCTGACAGTTCAAAAAGGCTGAAAGAGGGTGGTGTGGAGTCCCCTGAGAGTGGGGTGAGGAGAGGCGAGGTGTTTGAACTGTGTGATGATGATGATGACGACAACTACAACCACCACAACGACAGCTTTGACAGCAACGTCTTTGATGACTCCTCTGTCAGTCAGCAAGACGGGGCCCGGATGACCAGGCACTCAACTTCCGAGTCCGTTGACTCCTTAGACCAGAGTTGTGACTCCGGGCCCCAGATTGACTCCAGTACCTTTAGGAAGAAGAAACGCGACACCAGCACGTCAGATTTGCACCTGCCTAATGCCGACGAGACCTGCAAGTCCATGTGTTCTTTCAACGACTCCTTGAGCAACCAGCAGGCTCTGAACCTCAGCGCAGGGTTCCAGAGATCTTGTGTGCTGGAGGACAGCGTTATCAGCGAGCTGAGCAACAGCCAGCTGAGTCAAACCGACATGACGTCGTCAAAACACGACAAGAAAAATAAAAACAATGAAGAGAAATCTGGCAGTAAAACAAAGTCCAAAGTGGCGCAGGGGTTGAAGCGGCTGTTCGGATCTGGGAGACACAATAAAGACAAAGACTCCAAATCTAAAAATTCCGACATGAGTTCCTCAAAGCATTCAGACAAGGAGCAGACAAAAAGAAAGCACTCGAAGTTTGGCAGCAAGGATAAGAAAAGCTCCAAGGACAAGAAAGAGTATGATTTCTTCAGCGCTAACATCAAGATAGAGCCGTCCACCATGTCTAATTTTGACGACAAACTCACCACCCTTCAGCCGAGCGCAGCCCTCGGTACAACCCCAAAACCTGGGCAACTAAGGGTTGAGCACAAGGTCAGCCCGTCCGCCATCGTCGCCCCGTTTAACTACAACCCCCCGGCTGCCGTCAGCACCACCCCCAGCTCTGACGTCATATCCGCGGTCCTCTCCTCCACCCTCCTCACCTCCATAAACAGCCAGTCTATCGGAGTGTTGGCCAACGAGGAGATGTTGGCTGAGGGTAGGGACAACGAGAGCATCCACTCAAACTCTGAGAAACACTCAACCAAGACGGAGATGCTTCTGGCGCGGCGCCGGCAGAGGAACCTCTCCAGCAGCAAGTCTGAGGACATCCGCATGGATGTGGATATGAGCTCGGCCTGCATGGTCACTACTGTGTAGCAAGTCACTACTGTGTAGCAAGTCACTACTGTGTAGCAAGTCACTACTGTGTAGCAAGTCACTGCTGTTTTCTGTACATTTTATTTGCTGTTTTCTTTCTGGCTACCACGCACATTTCTCGTTGGTGTCTATCATTGTTAATGTAAGTTTTGTAAGGGAGTCACTGTTATCAGAGAGGTCAATCATTGATTATGTAAGGGTCAGTCATTAACCAAGTAGTCAATCATGGTTTATGTAAGGGTCTGTTACACATAGCACACTTTTTAATCATTATCATTGTTAACATTTCAAATGATCAATCATAGTTATTGTTATTGTCAATCATTGTTAATTTAATGGTCAATGAATGTTTCACATATAGCACAATTTTCAATCATTATCAATGATCAGTGTATTGTTAACATTTCAAATGATCAATCATAGTTATTGTTATTCTTAATCATTGTTAATTTAATAGTCAATGAATATTTCACATATAGCACAATTTTCAATCATTATCAATGACTAGTGTATTGTTAACATTTCAAATGATCAATCATAGTTATTGTTATTCTCAATCATTGTTAATTTAATAGTCAATGAATATTTCACATATAGCACAATTTTCAATCATTATCAATGACCAGTGTATTGTTAACATTTCAAATGATCAATCATAGTTATGGTTATTGTCAATCATTGTTAATTTAATAGTCAATGAATGTTTGTATTCTGTTTAAAGATTTATTCTTAGTCCAATGATACTTGTCGGGGGGACTATGTTATTCTTTCTATGAAAGAATTTTTTCGAAAACTTTGTAGGGAAGTTGAAATCACAGTCTGTGTGTTTGAGTATAATAAAAATGCAAAGAAATTTTTTGCTAGCCCCAGAAACTGAATCAATTTTTGAATACCCATTTCAACATAAACTCTCAAGTATCTATATGACTGCTTGTGTCGTTTTAACAAATTCCAGAATTTTTTTTACAACCAAACTTCACAATTGTTTCCACAAATCTGGAGTTTATTCTACTTAACTCCAGAATTGCTTTCAACAAATCAAGTTCCTTTTCAAACTGTGGATTTGTTTTCAACAAAGCTGGACTAGTTTCTAACTGGCTCTGGTGTTTTTTGTATTAAATATGACCAGTAGCTGTCATGATTTCAGTTCCTTACAATTTCGCCCCCCATCAAAGCACCACCTTCCTTGTCAGCTGTAGTATAACAGTGTATGGGGTTTCACATGTAACATCCAGGGGTTGAAACACTCACTGATTGTTTTGTATCATCATGGGTCAACTCAATTGTTGTAATAGAGGTACCTGTAAGCTTCATCCAAGTGACAATCACTCAGACCAAATTTGTTCTCTCATTGTATCAGAATCAACACAGTTAACAGTCAGGAATGTTGGTGTGTTATAAACAGTGTCTTATCATGGACTCTTCTGAAAATAGGGTTAGGGTTAGGTTGTTAGTTGAAAATAGGGTTATGGTTAGGTCGTTAGTTGAAAATAGGGTTAGGTCGTTAGTTGAAAATAGGGTTAGGTCGTTAGTTGAAAATAGGGTTAGGGTTAGGTTGTTAGTTGAAAATAGGGTTAGGGTTAGGTTGTTAGTTGAAAATAGGGTTAGGTCGTTAGTTGAAAACAGGGTTAGGTCGTTAGTTGAAAATAGGGTTAGGGTTAGGTCGTTAGTTGAAAATAGGGTTAGGGTTAGGTTGTTAGTTCAAGTTAGGGTTAGGTTGTTAGTTAAAAATAGGGTTAGGGTTAGGTCATTAGTTGAAAATAGGGTTAGGGTTAGGTTGTTTGTTGGCAATCTCAGGTTAAGTGTTTCTGTTCAGGGTTAGAAATTTTAATTAGGGTTAGGGAAGGAGTAGGGTTTGAGTTTTTGAGGGATAATGTTAGCCATTGATAGTTGTGTTTGGTGAACACTTCTGAAAATAGGGTTAGGTCATTAAAGGTCAAGGCTATGGAAGGACTAGAGATTGTGTATTGGAGAAATAGGGCTAGCAATTGATAGTTGTATTTAGTGAACTGAAAATAGGGTTAGAGTCAGGTTGTTAGTTGAAGGATAATCTCAGATTAAGGATACGGAAGGACTAGAGTTTATGTTAGTGAGGAATAGGGTTAGCAATTGATTCTTGTATTTATTGAACTAAAAAAAGTGTTAGAGTTAGGTCGTTTGGATGTTAATCTCAGGTTAAAGACTAGAGTTTATGTAAATGAGGAGTAGGGCCAGTAACTGATACTTGTATTCAGTGTACTACCAGTAAGAAGCCTAGATTCCCTATTTCCAGAAGATTCCATTCATGAGACATCACCAGACACCCCTGATAAACACAGACACCAACATTCAGTTTGGTTTCAAAGGATTATTTCTGTCAACCATTGAGCCTGAATCAACAGTGCTAGTTTGTTGATGAAACCCCCATGTTGTTGTAATGTTGGTTTGAATCAAGTTTTCTACTGCCAAAACTATCATCTGCCACTAGTGTGACATTTATCAGCAGCCTGTGGATATCCTGGATACTGGGTTTCTTTCAGACATTTTTCCCTATGAAGGGGAAGGGACACTAGTTAGTATATTTTCTATAGAAATTTTTTAAAAATTTCTATTTCATCTCGGGGGAGGATTGGTGGACGCGTTATAGACGTTGGATGAGGCCCCTTTAGAGATGTCTGAAAGAAACTCTGCTTGATAGTGGCTGAAAGTTAAGCTATGGGACAACAAGCTTTGGGTGGCTTCTGTATTTTCAGTGCCGGACTCGCATGAATCAAAAATCATCCTGTCACATTGAAAACTAAAATAATTCATTTTCTGTCAATGCTTCCGCAAATTTTAACAAAGAATGATAGTATCTTGTAAATATTTTTATATAAATTATATGGTCTTGTTAATTTCTCGTACATACAATTGTTTCTTTGTACTCTTGGTTTTTTGATACATCTGTATATAGTTAAACAGAAAATACATCTTATACAGCCCTGGATTATATAGTTGTATTGGATTTGTATCAAATTTAACTTCCTACTGCCCATAATTTTTGTGTGTTTAATATTGTTGGTAAAATCAATAAGGCTAAGTGTTTCTAAGCTGCTGCTGAAGTATTTAGTCACTTCACTAGTGTATGGTGGAATTGAGCTGAAGTATTTAGTCACTTCACTAGTGTATGGTGGAATTGAGCTAAAGTATTTAGTCACTTCACTAGTGTATGGTGGAATTGAGCTGATGAAGTATTTAGTCACTTCACTAGTGTATGGTGGAATTGAGCTGATGAAGTATTTAGTCACTTCACTAGTGTATCGTGAAATTGAGCTGATGATTTATTTAGTCACTTCACTAGTGTATCGTGAAATTGAGCTGATGAAGTATTTAGTCACTTCACTAGTGTATGGTGGAATTGAGCTGATGAACTATTTAGTCACTTCACTAGTGTATGGTGGAATTGAGCTAAAGTATTTAGTCACTTCACTAGTGTATCATTAAAATTGAGCAGATGAACTATTTAGTCACTTCACTAGTGTATCATTGAGATTGAGCTGAACTATTTAGTCACTTCACTAGTGTATGGTTGAGTGATTAAATGTTTGAGATGTTAGTTCTGTTTGGCGCACTATTAAAAAATGTTTTAATCTCTCTTGGTTATTGTTAACTCAATGCAAGGTAAAGATGTTACCTAGATCTGTTGAGGTGTTTTTTATTTACAATTTTTGACATCTAAAACAAATAATTCGTTAAATTTGGATTAGTTTTTTTTTAGGAAAGTTCAAACAAAAAATGTGGTACAATTTGCATTTTGAAGTTAATTCCAAGTTTTTCACTTAAGTCATTGTGAGTCAGGTTTTTTTTTGTTTGTTTTTTAAGTTTGAAATGTATAAAACATGGTAAGCTCAATACTAGAGTCATTACTGTATTGTTGTTACTGAGATACACTAGACTGTATCGCTAGTCTGGTAAATATTTTTACTTGTGAATATTTCTTAATCTCATTCTGTGAATTGGTTGCTTTTTCACTTTGTAACTTTTAAAGGTGGTTGTACAATTTTTTAATGCATTCTGACAAAAAAATGAAGGTAATACGTCAAAAGTATTGCATTTATATCATTTTGTATGTTTTGAAACCAGACAGGTTTTGATATGTGAAAATGTGTTGTGAATGCCACACATCTTTCTTTATGTGTATGTTTATGTATCCTGTGAATGTGTTGTGTATGATGTACATATTCTCCCCCCCTCCCCCTTTCACACACATGTGTATGCAAAATATCCTTTGAATATGTCTGGTTATGTGTATATATTACCCATCGTACAATTAACTAGAAGTTTCCCGTAAGTGTAGTGTGTTATTCCCCCCTTTCTCTCCCCCCCCCCCCCCATGTTCAAGTCATTTTCATTGGTCAATTGGTGGCCCTCATATGCTCATGTACAGTTTGTATTTTGATAACTTTTTATACAGTTTGGCCTAAGCCATGGTGGTCCCATAATCCATGGTGGTCCCCATAATACATGACGGTCCCATAAGCCATGGTGGTCCCATAATCCATGGTAGTCCCATAGTTCATGGTGTTCCCTTAAAGCACTGTTGTCTCATAACTCGTGGTGGTCTCATACATAGAGCTATGTCATGGTAGTTTCCCTCACTGTATCTTATGTTTATAGCTCTAGGTTTATCTCCCCTCACTGTATGTATCTTATGTTTGTAATTCCAGGTTTATCTCCCCTCACTGTATGTATCTTATGTTTGTAATTCTAGGTTTATCTCCCCTCACTGTATGTATCTTATGTTTGTAATTCTAGGTTTATCTCCCCTCACTGTATGTATCTTATGTTTGTAATTCTAGGTTTATCTCCCCTCACTGTATGTATCTTATGTTTGTAATTCTAGGTTTATCTCCCCTCACTGTATGTATCTTATGTTTGTAATTCTAGGTTTATCTCCCCTCACTGTATTTATCTTATGTTTGTAATTCTAGGTTTATCTCCCCTCACTGTATGTATCTTTTGTTTGTAATTCTAGGTTTATCTCCCCTCACTGTATGTATCTTATGTTTGTAATTCTAGGTTTATCTCCCCTCACTGTATGTATCTTATGTTTAAATTCTAGGTTTATCTCCCCTCACTGTATGTATCTTATGTTTGTAATTCTAGGTTTATCGTAGCGCTTGACTGTTGTAATTGTTGTGCCAATCATTTGAATAAAGCTGAAATTGCTAAACACTTTTTCA